AATATAAGTTTAACATAACAGCAAATGTACAACGTTTCGACAAGGTTTTGTCATCATCAGGTGTTATGTTAAACTTATATTAAAGCTTTTCTTCATTACCCATTCAAGCCGTCTCCAGCCATTATAAATTATCATATTGTTTATGTAACGAACAAGCTAATTTCCGAAATGTTCATGCTGTTATGGATTAAAAGTCATTTAAATATTAGACATAACGTCCATGCGTATTGTTCTATGAACATTCCAGTACTTGGTGTATGCTTTTTTAAGTCCACGTGCAATTATTATTTTATTTTCTAATGACTAACAAAAATAAAACGTATATTTATTCACATTAAACCATTTTTCGTGACAGGTGTATCTAAGTCTGATCACTCGTGACTTTAGTTCATAAGTTTATATTATAAAGTTGTAAACTACAGGGAAAGCACTATAAAATACCTCAAAACTCGTATGCTTTTTTGTTTTTCCCCGGGAAAATATTTTCTTAATTCTAGTCTCTGCCACAGTGAAATTTCTGTTTGTTGAATATAATCTGGATTATTTGAATTAAATGAAATATGTGTAATCATCAGATAATAAGAAGTTTGTAAATTATTGGTACCTTGAGTATTATTATTGTTTGTAAATGACGAATACTGAAACATGTGACGAATACGATACTTGTGGTTCAGTTTTTGTTGTCCGTCTACTGGATGTTTCCAGTTTTAAAGATATGTGTACCAAGGCTCAAATAGTTACAAATACACACACACACACAACAGAGTTGTTGCTATTTACAATACAGTTGTTAAATTATCAAGCAGAATATATATTTCTTATATATATATTTAAAACATGTTCCCAGTTTATTAGTCAGTTCAATGGAGAATTAGACAGACTTTGGCACGTTTGAATACAGCTTAGCTTTGTCCATAGAACGGTTGATGTTTCCGTCATTAATATGTCGTACAGTTTTAGAAAAAGAGAACACCAGATACCGGGAATATTATGCACATGTTAACAAATTCTACGATTTTTACGTGCTACTTGCCACAATCACTTCTAACCTTTTTTTTTTTTTACCGTATTTGTACGGTATGTAATTTGTCGTTGTTCATGTGTGTATTATATCTAATTAACCGTTGACTAAAAAAGTTGTATTTCGAAGTTTGTTTTTATACGTATATTTTTATGTTTCAAGTTATTATAAGACACTTTCAAATCTGTATATATAACTTTATCATCACTTATACAGTGTGTAACCCTCAGTTTTTGTGTTAATGTATAGGAAGATTCTTTTAAGGTTTTTATCAACTATTTGAAAATTGCCTGTATTAAAACTGTGCCAAATATTGACTTCTTTTTTACTTGTAGTAGAAGTCTTTACTATTTAGAAGAGATTATGATTATATAACACAAACAATTTCAAGTTATACTTAACACGTGTACAGTGTGTAACCCTCAATTTTTGTGTTAATGTATTTTATTGTATAGGTAGATTCTTTTTAGATTTTTATTAAAAGTGTGCCAAATATTGTCTTTTTTTACTTGTAGTAGAAGTCTTTACTATTTAGAAGAGATTATGATTATATAACACAAACAATTACAAGTTCTACTTAGCACGTGCGTTTACAATGCGCGTGATAAATAAGCAGTTTCTGTAACTTAGTTTAGTTATTTTTCTGTACGGCCATTTTTGAATACCGGGGATTTTAAATTTTTAGACCTGATTTCTTCACAGCACCACATACTCTAGTGTTTTCTATAGGGATTTGAAGAACTTACAAACCTTCCTCGTTTTTAGTTAACTGTTAGGTTTTAAAAAACTGCCGTGACTGTAAAATATTACGAGTCGAGTGCCCTAACTGGGCTATCTGCCTTCAGATTTACCGCCAAGCCACGGGGGAGGGAGAACAGAATAACAATGATGTCCACCAAAGCTCGTAAGGGTTAATGGAAGCTTATCTTGCAAGATTTTGTCTAGAGAGGTGGCTTGACGTTTTGCTTTCATGCGTCTGACTGTAGTTTCGAAGGTAATGCTTTTACCGAATTTTAGAATGTTAAATTAATCCGTAAACCATGGCCACACTTCAAGCCATTTTATGATTAGATAAGCGCCGTAACTTGAAAAACTAATTATTTTTTGTATCAATTCTCTAGTTGAATGGATATTTAAAAACGAATACTCGTATAAAATCAACTTTCCTAACAAATGAAGTTATGCTCTAATTGAATTACCACATCTAATCCCCAGGCATGGCCGAGTAACTGTTCTAATAACATTTTAAAATACGATTGTTGATTGTTATGAATTTCGCGCAAAGCTACACGAGGGCTATCTGCACTAGCCGTCCCTAATTTAGCAGTGTAAGACTAGAGGGAAGGCAGCTAGTCATCACCACCTACCGCCAACTCTTGGGCTACTCTTTTACCAACGAATAGTGGGATTGACCGTCACATTATAACGCCACCACGGCTGAAAGGGCGAGCATGTTTGGTATGACGGGGATTCGAACCCGCGACCCTCAAATTACGTAGATTTGTGCTTAATAACACGTAAACACTGCTTTAAAACAGATGTCTAATTATTAACCATATAGAAATTATGACGAAAATATTATTAATTGTTAAAGATTTAAACTAATTTGTATTGTTCAGTACATTGTTGCCCGCTGACGGCTCCGGTAAGATGGCCGAAAGCTCGCGTATAAAAGTATTTTAACGTAGAGAAAAGTCCATGTATAATTATTCTACATTTTAAAAAACAAACATTTATTTTAACCCTAGAATTACCGATGGAATCCATATTTTTCGAAGTTATTTATGCAACAAGCTTTTTGTAGGTCCACGATTTTGTCAGTTACAAGGTTCCTAATACAGGGTTCAAAGAAGAAAAACCATAAAACTGCAAACAAAACACCAATGTTCTAAAAAATCTTCCTAACCGTTATATTTTAACACAGAAACTGGGATATTTCTCTTAATTATTATGTCTCCGCAGAGTGGCACTGTTTTTCTATCGTTTCTTTCTTCTTCCAAACACTTTTCAATCGACCACTATTCCTTCATTTCTCGGCGGATTGACTTGAAACTTGTTAGAGTTATACTTCGATGACGAGGAACCCACTTTGAGACTAATAATGGCTGGAGACGGCTTGAATGGGTAATGAAGAAAAACTTTAATATAAGTTTAACATAACAGCAAATGTACAACGTTTCGACAAGGTTTTGTCATCATCAGTTATACCTTGATCCAATACGCCCAGACATCTTTCATTTTTTTTTTACTTAGGCCTTTTTATGGAGTTTATGGGGTCAAAGGTAAAACAACTCAACAATGTATATTTTGGGCTCTTGTGCGGTCATATTTG